TGAAATACAGGAACAATAAATCACAGAGTGTTTGCTTGGAACTCACTGGGGGGGGGGGTGCAACACCGCTGATAATTGCTCATAAGGAATTTCAGGTAGATTTCCAGTGCACTGTTAGGTAAAATTAAGTAGATTTGCAGAAGATTTTCAGGAGAATTCAGGTAATTCTCAGGACATGAGAAAGTGAATTTGGAAAACAACTGTATTTTCGGAAAAATTATTATATGTCCTGAAAATTTTTTGTACATCTGGAAACATTTTGGTCACCCCCCTACCCCCCTCTATCTAACCTCACACACACCCTGAGACGAAGTGCTCGCAACGGCACTGAGTATACATCTTTTGAAAACAGGCGAGGGGTTATTGCATGCATGTATTTCTAGTTTAAGCAATAATTCCGTAAAACAGGCTTATTCGTGCAGAACGCGAATTCTTTTCGACTTGGTGGCAATATTGGTCACCTAAGGAATATTTCGAACTAGTTTTCGACGATGTCAATGTTCCCATGGCAACATGACGACAGCATAAAGCCTTCCAATTTAACCCATAAATGTGCCGCTATCTCAAAAACGATGTCGGTGACCTATCTTTTTTATTTCATATATCAATAAGGAATGATGCTCTGCAACTCTGGTGAAAGTTTAAAAAAATTCTGTAGTGTGTGATTTTTTTAAAAGCGAAAAATTTATTGCGAAATTTCCACACTACAGATTTTTTTAAAATTTGAAATTTATAAAATTTACCGCAAAATAAATTCGTGATCAAAATTTGAAGATAGGTCACCGATGAAACTAATGAGTAAAATGCAAATAAAGTTAGAAAATAGCCTCGTGTAACTCGAGAAATTCCCCTATTGAAAAGCGTCGCTGACTAGTAAAAGATTGTACGCGGGCGCAGAACGAGTTTTCATTCAGCAAAATCGAACCGCAATGTTGTTTTTACTGTTTTGTTTTTGTCAACTTTTCGATTTATTTGAGTGCTATGGACAGCCAAGGATTATTGTGAAGGATTAAATCGATGAAAACAAGGTTGATACTAATTGAATCCTGCCGTTTACTCAATCTATGAGCTGTAACAGCCTACTAACAGGTGGACGTGTTTTTTTTTGTTTCATGTTTGGTTTTGTACTTTTTGCTAAAAATGAACAATTAGGCTATGAAACTGAAATATTTTTCTGTTTACATATAATCACTTTAATCTTGTAGAAACACGACTAAAAACGTGAACGTTTTCTTGAGAAATAAACAACTTATTAAACGTTTGTATGCAATTTTGCAAATGTTTTACAGTTGACAATGTATATTTTAAAAACATTAAAACACATTGTTTCGTAGCTATTTTTTGGTCTAGTGGTATTCGTATCATATGTAGAATTGCTGTATAGACTCGCAAGTAATTTGGCACTCAAAACGAAGTATTATTCAACGCTTTTTCCCATTAGAAACCTTTCAGAAATAGCTTTTTTTTAAAAAGAAAATTTTGTTTTGTTTTGATCATGCGGTTGCGTGGGATAGTTCACGTACTGGTCCCGCGAAGATCCCGCACGCAACTGTAGGGAGCCTCCTTAATGTTAATTGTATTTTAATTTGATTGACAACACTATAAATAGTAATAGGCACAGACGTATTTTTATTGACTAAACCGGCAGGCTCTAATTCAATTCAAAGAGCCTGTACGCAGGCTACCAATTAATCCATTCTCATGATCTGAAGCAATCTGTCG